ACCCTAACCTAACCCTAACCCTAACCCTAACCCTAACCCTAACCCTAACCCTAACCCTAACCCTAACCCTAACCCTAAACCCTAACCCTAACCCTAACCCTAACTCTTACCCTTATATTATTCTAAACCCTAACCCTTATCCTATTCTAAACTCTTATCCTCACCCTCACCCTTATCCTATTCTAAACCCTCACCCTTACTCTTACCCTTATATTATTCTAAACCCTCATCCTTACCCTTATCCTATTCTAAACCTTCACCCTTACTCTTACCCTTATATTATTCTAAACCCTTACCCTTACTCTCACCCTTATTCTTATCCTCACCCTTACCCTTATATTATTCTAAACCCTTACTCTTACCCTTATCCTATTCTAAACTCTTATCCTCACCCTCACCCTTATTCTTATCCTCACCCTTACCCTTATCCTATTCTAAACTCTTATCCTAACCCTCACCCTTATCCTATTCTAAACCCTTACCCTTACTCTTACCCTTATATTATTCTAAACCCTTACCCTTACTCTTATCCTATTCTAAACTCTTATCCTCACTCTTACCCTTATCCTATTCTAAACCCTCACCCTTACTCTTACCCTTATATTATTCTAAATCCTTACCCTTACCCTTATCCTATTCTAAACTCTTATCCTAACCCTTACCCTTATCCTATTCTAAACCCTCACCCTTACTCTTACCCTTATATTATTCTAAACCCTTACTCTTACCCTTACCCTTATTCTTATCCTCATCCTTACCCTTATATTATTCTAAATTCTTACCCTTACCCTCACCCTTATTCTTATCCTCACTCTCACCCTTATCCTATTCTAAACCCTCACTCTTACCCTTATCCTATTCTAAACTCTTATCCTTACCTTTACCCTTACTCTTATCCTTACCCTTATCCTTATATTATTCTAAATCCTTACCCTTACTCTAACCTTTATCCTTATCCTTACTCTTATCCTTATCCTTATCCTTATATTATTCTAAACCCTTACCTATACTCTTACCCTTACTCTTATATTATACTAAACTCTTATCCTTATATTATACTAAACCCTTACTCTTTACTAAAATTATAGGAAATTCTTGCCTGCTAATTTCCTTAATCTCTAACTATATATAATCTCTTAATCTTAACTATTAAATATATTCCTAATTTAAACCTATATATTAATTTATATCCTAAATAATATTCTTATCTTAATACTTCTAATCTTCCTCCCTTATATTATAGATCCTCCCAAACTTTCTTATATTTTATTTTATAATTATTCTATTATTTATACTAATTTACTATCTTAACTCTTATTATTAAATCCCTACTTTTCTTATAATAAATCCCTTTATTTCTATATTATTTAAAATCCTATACTCTATTTACTCTTATAAATCTAATTATTTATTTAACTTCTTTTTCTACTAGTTTATCTATTTTTATTTCTTAATTAATTTATATTATTATTTACTTTTTAAAATTTACTTATTACTAATTTTATCTACCTACTATTTTACTTACTACTCTACTAAATATCTTATAAATTATTAACTAAAACTATCCTTTTAATATTTATAATATCTAATTTACTTACCTACTAATTATATATTATTACTAAATCTTAATTATAAAAATATAATTTAAATTTTACCTGAACTAATAGACCTTCCTACTAATTTATAATCCTTAATAATACCTAAATATTAATTACTATTCTAGCTTATCTACCTATATATCTAATATATAATTATAGATGGCCCTATCCTAACCCTACTTAAAATAATATACTATTACTAAACTACTTAATATACTTATAATAATCTCTTACTTTTCCCTTAAATTAAAATATATTCCTTAAATTATATATAAACTTACTAATAAAACCTGTATAATATTTCTATATTTAATTATAATTTAATAATTATTCCTTAATATTTATAGTATATATATATTACTACTAATATTATATATCTACTATAGATTAACCCTAAATAATTAAATAGTATAATATATATAAAATTACTATAATATATTCTTAATCTCCCTGCAGATCTACCATAACTAATAAAATACTATCTAGATCTCAACCTCTTGCCTATTAATAGTTCCCTGCCCAAAAAATACTATAATTAATATAATCTAATATATATCCATAATATAGGGCTTAATAGCCTGCTGATTCCCCTTATTAGGGAATACTATACAGCCTTTAATAATCTAGCTATATAAATACCGCTCGAATATATCATGTATAGCCTCCCCATGTAATCTATATAATATCCTGGTAATAAGTAAAACTAATGCACCACACTATATATATGGCTGGCGGGCCTGCTACTCTAAATAAATAGATTAGGGCATACCATATATATAATAATACTAGAATAGGATATAATCTACCTGGGACTAGACCTAAATTATCTACTACTTAATAGCCTGGCTATTAAGGTATTAGTATAAATATAACTTATAATTATTATCCTAGCTACTAGTAGTATAAATATAATACTAATTTAACTATATCTAGGCTTCCTACTTAATAAATTTATAGTTAATTCTAGCCTGCATGGCCCTGGACTGCTGACGGATAGCCGCCAGGAGATATTGCGGATAGGGTGGAATAGCTGCTAGTATAGGGGCTGCTGTATGGGGGCTACTTCCACGCCTAAATCCAGACTCAGGGGGCACCTGGGACATGAACAAATTATCTATCTAAATAGATACTACGCAGGTGACTAGATAGGGGGTAGACAAGAATATAGGTAGTACTAATTAGGTAGGTAATAGAGATAGTAGTACCCTAGATATTAAGCTAGGGGCTACTAGGATTGGTAATATTAAGGTAGGACTAACTAGCTCCTATACTTCCTACTTAGGATTGCATGTATTACATGGTAACTTCTCTAAATTAATATCCTGGCACTACTACTAGAAATACCTATTAATAATCCTGTTTAAGTACTAGTCTAATATATACTATTAATATAAAACTCCCTGGACCTCCATATACTGCTGCACATGCTTAAAATTAGCCTCAACAATCTAGTTAATTTATAGATCTAGGCTATCCCACCCCTAGGGCTAGATAATAATAGCTTTACTAGTAATACCATCATGCCCAGCATGGCCACTTTCCTGCCTATAATCTAATAACATTCATAGCTAGCTAATATAAATTACATACTAAATATCAGGGATATTAATCCTTATACCTAATATACTAGTAACACTAATAACCTAAGTCTGGCTGGCCTGGAACTACTACATGACCCTAGCTTAATCTAATACCATACTATAGTACAGCTCACACCTAATTTCCCAACTAATAGCCTCCACCTGACTCTTGATATTGGTATATATAATAACCTAGCTACTATAAGCCTAGTAGATGCATGCCTGGATAAAACTAATTACCCTAGGGGTAGTCAACTACTAGTACAGCTCCTAAGGCACCCTATATAGTAATATTAGCTGGTGCACGTGATATGCTATATTTAGATAGCTGGTCTGGCTGTAATATATACCAACCTTACTAGGCTAATACTAGATCTGCTGCAAAAATATAGCTTTACTAGATAGGGGTAACATAGCTGTTAAATATACTATCTACATGTGGGTGCTGGCCAATCAGCCTAACTAGGCTATAGCAGGCTAGAAATCCTTCTACAGGTTTAATATTACATGGCATTTATTAATAATAATCCAGTCTAGCTGCCATAGCAACCACTGCCGGTTCAAAAATATGTAGAAATTAGGGTTTTTAGTAAATTTAAACATGACTAGTATAATCATAGCTTTATTAAGAGGGTGGTAGCTTTCCTATAATATATAATAAATCTCTAGTATCTAGTACTACTGTATTAAATTAGCTTATAATAAAATTAATAGAATAATTATAATAGTACAACCCCCCAGGGCAGTATATATAAGTAATATAAATAATATACTTTTCCTGCCCCTAGTAAGTATAATAGCCATAACCAGGCTGGCACTATCCTAGATAGCTTTAATAGCTGGCCTCTACACCTCATGGAATATAATCTCCTGCCTAATTATATACTACAATACCTGCTCTAAATTAGCCGCCTGTAATTATACTTGCTACTAGATCTAGTAGTCTATTACTTGTTCCTCCTACAGGTTCTCCCACTTACCTAATATAGGGTAGTCCTCCTAAGTAAATCCTAAAAATCAGTACTAGTCTATGCTAGATACCTAGAATTTTAACTGCTATATAATAATACTGCCTTTAAACTTAGTTACCTCCTAGCTATATATTATCCTGGCTATATAAAGGGTATAGCTAGCCTGCTTATTTATAATATTCCTAATCTTATTAGGATCTTTATCTACCTCTATAGTAACTATCTCCTACTCCTACTTAACCTATATATTATTCAGGAATACGCTAGATAGATATAAAAAATAATAGCTAATACTTACTATAATATCCCAATAATAAGTAATATTAAGCAGGTATAATAACCCTATACTAGTCTGGCTCTCTTACTTTAATACCTTGTGGAACCACTCACTAGTCTAGTCCTAGCTACTACTAATATTAGGTCCCTATAATCTTGAATTATAGTAGTAACTAGGATAGTAGTATAAGTATTAGTTAGTATAGAATATTACTAGCTACTATATAAATAGTAATACTAACTATAAATACTATATAACTAACTTGCCAATTACTTAGGGTAAATATTAGTAGATAATCTTTATATTATTACTAGTATGGAATCCTTTATAATATATAGTAATAAATACTACTATACTATCCTTAATATATATATTTTAGCACTAGTTAGTCTTAGTATTTATATACTAGATACTTAATAACTCCAGGGCTCATACAGGTACCCCCCTAATTAAATGCACGGCCACTACCAGCTTCTCTTTAAACTAGGCTACCTGCTAGAAATATTTCTAGATCTTAGGACTGCTGACCTCCTTCTAGGTAGTAAAGATATAGGCTATAGCAGGTTCCTATATGATCTAGTCTAGTAGCTAGCTATATCCAGCCACAGGCTACTAGGTCCGCGCATCCTGCAAAAAACTCTAGCTAGGGGTGGCTTTAATAGAGTTATTAAATAACTAATCTTATAGAATGGCAGGCTATTAATCTAGATTAGGTTAGTATAATAACCCTGCTATAAACTCCTGCACAGCCCTAATCAAGCCATGTATGAACCCCTAGAACTTGCCTATAGTAAAACTTATCTCCTTATATAATAACTACTCCTGTCCTATCTAGGTCACATGCCTGGGGGTGATGGTGTTATAATAAATCTTTAATTTAAAGGTCTGCTAATCTAGCAACACCTTTACAGGCCCATGCTGGCCATGAATTATAAATTACTAGACTATCTAGTCTACTCTGGCTTGAAATAGCATTCCCTGGGTTTAGGGAATCTAGTAAATAGGGGCTGCAGGCAGGCTAAGCAGGCTAGATAGTAGACTAGATAGGGGGAATATAATAGGGGTATTAGGTCCCTCTATATACCCTTTATTAATAATGAATCCTAACTCTTTATTTATAGTATCCCCTATTTATGACCCTTGCTCTATAGCCACAGCCTATATATAGATAATCTCTATATACTATAGATCTAGCTATAATACTTTTTATATAAGCATGAAATATATTACTTTTAATATCTAGAAAATAATAGGTGGGTAACTCTTAGGGCCCTACCAGGTTACTTCCCCCTAACCTAATATAGTTATAGCATAGATTAACAAGCTCTTATACTTATAAACCTTAATTTTCTAATTTAGTAACTTAATGCAAAACTCTAAGCATATAGTCTTGATTATAGTTATAATAAATAGCTAGACTATGGGGGGCTGATCCTTAACCTCTATAGGATTAGGACTGTGCCAGGATTCCTGCATAGTTATTTACTATAATTACTATTATGTTTTCTACTACTAGGTAGTTATAATATACTATAGCTATTACTTCTATAACTAGTCTATCTATATATAGATAATAAATAGTAAAATCTACTATTATAACTAGATATAATCTTAGATATTCTTCTTATTTATATACACTTGCAATAGCTAGTACGGGGTCTGGTGCAGTATAATATATATAGCAGCCATTTAGATCCTATTCCCATACTACTTTACTATATGCTAGCTATACTAGGCCAGTAATTTTATAGTATCCTATACTACACGCATGGTACTGCTCACAGGGTCCTCTAGCTTAGGATTAGGAGTAGCCACCACTACAAGCAGGTCTAGAATATACATATTAGCTAAATACCAGGCCCAGTAGGTCATGCACAGTCATGGATTAGCATCCTAGAGCTCCCTAGTCTAGATAACCTAGGTAGCTACCTCCTACTTGTCCACTACCGCCCGCGCCTTGATCTCCGCGACCAGCTACTCATAAGTAATAATTAGGACAGGTTACTCCTTAAGCTAGGGATCATGCAATAAAATATATACTAAATAGAAATTTTTCTAGCTAGGGAATACCTACTACTAGGTAACTAGGTAGAATAATTACTAAAGCTAGATCTATTATTTCTCCTACTTCCAGGCAGGAATCCCTCTATAGAACTAGTACTAGGTCTAATCATATACTTCTTTCTAGTAATTTCGCATAAATTTAATACTAGTAGTAATATATATATATTACTCTAGTCCCTTACTATAATCATGCTAGTATAATAGCCTGTTAGTATAAATAAAGATAATAGAAACTAGCATGTCTAGTATATAGGGAATATATAAATTATCTAGCTACTAGATAATTCCTGCCTAGCTAGCTACTACCTGAGCAATAGATTAATTATTCTATAGCTTAAGAAAATACTTCTTCTATAGATATATTATAACCTCCTTAGGATAAATACCATGCTAGCACTAGTAATATATAATAATTTATAATATAAAGATCTTCTTAAATAGCTAGTATTCTATAATAAAATATAGATAGGTAGCAGCCAGGTATAGATAAAAATATAATATTAGATAGGAAAACTAATAGAAATACTTAGAGAAATTAAAGTTTAACTAGGCTTTTTAACTAGATAAGCCCCTAATTATTTAGTTTACTAATACAACTAATCTATTACTACTATATATAGCTATCTAAGTCTATCCCCCACCAAATCTTTAACAAAACCCCAACTAACTTTAACATACTACTATATATTTACCTAATACCTACAGGCTCTAAAACTTAGGAATCTATAATTTAAGTAGCTAATCTATATCTAGTAAAAATTTAAACTATAATATATAACAGGTTCTATAGGCATCCTACTCCTGAAAATTAAGCTACCCTATAATAAGTTGACCAATCAGCGCTGGTCCTCCACAAAACCCTAGAGCCACCCTAGTAGCCTTCCTCAACCCTTGTGGGATAGGGAACCCTTACCTACTAATTTCCTTAATTCCTAACTATATATAACCTCTTAATCTTAATTATTAAATATATTTCTAATCCTAATCCTAATTAATTTATATTCTAAATAATATTCTTACCCTAATACTTCTAATCTCCCCCCCTTATACTATAAATCTTACCAAACTTTCTTATATTTTATTTTATAATTATTCTATTATTTATACTAATTTACTATCTTAACTCTTATTATTAAATTCCTATTTTTTTTATATTAAATTTCTTTATTTTTATATTATTTAAAATCCTATACTCTATTTACTCTTATAAATCTAATTATTTATTAAATTTCTTTTTTTACTAGTTTATTTATTTTTATTTCTTAATTAATTTATATTATTACTTACTTTTCAAAATTTATTTATTACTAATTTTATTTACCTGCTATTTTACTTACTACTCTACTAAATATCTTATAAATTATTAATTAAAACTATTCTTTTAATATTTATAATACCTAATTTACTTACTTATTAATTATATATTATTACTAAATCTTAATTATAAAAATATAATTTAAATTTTACCTAAATTAATAGATCTTTCTATTAATTTATAATTTTTAATAATACCTAAATATTAATTACTATTCTAGCTTATCTACCTATATATCTAATATATAATTATAGATGGCCCTATCCTAACCTTACTTAAAATAATATACTACTACTAAATTACTTAATATACTTACTATAATCTCTTACTCTTTCTCTAAACTAAAATATATTCCTTAAATTATATATAAACTTACTAATAAAACTTATATAATATTCCTATATTTAATTATAATTTAATAATTATTCCTTAATATCTATAGTATATATATATTACTACTAATATTATATATTTACTATAGGTTAACTTTAAATAATTAAATAATATAATATATATAAAATTACTATAATATATTCTTAATCTCCCTGTAAATCTACTATAATTAATAAAATATTACCTAAATCTTAACTCCTTGCCTATTAATAATTCCCTACCTGAAAAATACTATAATTAATATAATCTAATATATATCCATAATATAGGGCTTAATAGCCTACTAATTCCTCTTATTAGGGAATACTACATAGCCTTTAATAATCTAGCTATATAAATGCTACTTAAATATATTATATATAGCCTCCCTGTGCGGTCTATATAATATCCTGGTAATAAGTAGAACTAATATACTATACTATATATATAGCTGGTAGGCCTGCCACCCTAAATAAATAGATTAGGGCATGCCACATATATAATAATATTAGAATAGGATATAATCTATCTAGGACTAGACCTAAATTATCTACTACTTAATAGCCTGGCTATTAGGATATTGGCATAAATATAACTTATAGTTACTATCCTGACTACTAGTAGTGTAAATATAATACTAATTTAATTATGTCCAGGCTTCCTACTTAATAAATTCATAATTAATTCTAGCCTGCATGACCCTAGACTGCTGATGGATGGCCGCTAGGGAGTATTGCGGATGGGGTGGAATAGCTGCTAGTATAGGGGCTGCCGCGTGGGGGCTACTTTTATACCTAAACCTGGACCTAGAGGGCACCTAGGATATAAATAAATTATCTGTCTAAATAAATACTACATGGGTAACTAGATAGGGGGTAGATAGGAATATAGGTAGTGCTAATTAAGTGGGTAATAAGGATAGTAGTACCCTAAATATTAAGCTAGGGGCTACTAGGGTTAGTAATATTAGGGTAGGACTAACTAGCTCCTGTACTCCCTACTTAGAATTACATATATTATATAGTAACTCCCCTGGATTAATATCCTAGTACTATTACTAGGAATACTTATTAATAGTCCTATCTAAGTACTAGTCTAATATATATTATTAATATAAAACCCCCTAAATCTCTATATACTACTATATATACTTAAAATTAGCCTTAGTAATCTAGTTAATCTATAGATTTGGGCTATCCTACTCCTAGGGCTAGATAATAATAACTTTGCTAGTAACTCTATTATACCTAGCATGGCTACTTTCCTACCTATAATCTAATAATATTTATAGCTAGCTAATATAAATTATATACTAGATATTAGGGATATTAATCCCCATACTTAATATACTAGTAATACTAATAATCTAGGTCTAGCTAGCCTAGAATTACTACATAATCCTAGCTTAATCTAATACTATATTATAATATAGCTTATATCTAATTTCCTGACTAATAATCTCTACCTAACTCTTGATATTAGTATATATAATAATCTGGCTACCACAGGCCTAGTAGATACATGCCTGGATAAAACCAATCACCCTAGGGGTGGTTAATTACTAGTACAGCTCCTGGGGCATCCCATGTAGTAATATTGGCTAGTGCACGCAGTATGCCATATTTAGATGGCTAGTCTAGCTATAATATATACTAATCTTACTAGGCTAGTACTAGATTTGCTATAAAAATATAGCTTTACTAGATAGGGGTAACATAGCTATTAAATATATTATTTATATATAGGCACTAGCTAATTAGCCTAACTAGGCTATAGTAGGCTAGAAATCCTTCTATAGGTTTAATATTATATAGTATTTATTAATAATAATCTAGTCTAGTTACTATAGTAACTACTACTAGTTTAAAAATATATAGAAATTAAGATTCTTGATAGATTTAGGCATAACTAGTATAATTATAACTTTATTAGAGGAGTAGTAGCTTTCCTATAATATATAATAGATTTCTAATATCTAGTATTACTATATTAAATTAGCTTATAATAAAATTAATAGGATGACTATAATAGTGTAACCCCTTAAAGTAATATATATAGGTAATATAAATAACATGCTTTTCCTACTCTTAGTAGGTATAATAGCTATAACTAGGCTAGTACTATCCTAGATAGCTTTAATAGCTAGCCCCTATATCCTATAGAATATAATCTCCTACCTGGTCATATACTATAATACCTGCTCTAAATTAGCTACCTATAATTATACCTACTACTAGATCTAGTAGTCTACTACCTATTCCTCCTATAGGTTCTCCTACTTATCTAATATAGGGTAGTCCTCTTAAGTAAATCCTAAAAATTAATACTAGTCTATGCTAGATATCTAGAATTTTAACTATTATATAGTAGTACTACCTTTAAACTTAGTTATCTCCTAGCTATATATTATCCTAGCTATATAAGAGGTATGGCTAGCCTGCTTATTTATAATATTCCTAATCTTATTAGGATCCTTATCTACCTCTATAGTAATTATCTCCTGCTCCTACTTAACCTATATATTATTTAGGAATATACTAGATAGGTATAAAAAATAATAGCTAATACTTACTATAATATCCTAATAATAAGTAATATTAAGTAGGTATAATAATCTTATACTAGTCTAGCTCTCCTACTTTAATATCTTATAGAATTACTTACTAGTCTAGTCCTAGCTACTACTAATATTAGGTCTCTATAATCTTAAGTTATAGTAGTAACTAGAGTAGTAGTACAGGTATTAGTTAATATAGAATACTACTAGCTACTATATAAATAGTAATACTAACTATAAATACTATATAATTAACTTACTAATTATCTAGAATAAATACTAGTAAATAATCTTTATATTATTACTAGTATAGAATCTTTTATAATATATAGTAATAAATACTATTATACTATCCTTAATATATATATTTTAGTACTAGTTAATCTTAATATTTATATACTAGATACTTAATAACTCCAGGACTTATATAAGTACCCCCCTAGTTAAATATATGGCTACTGCTAGCTTCTCCTTAAACTAGGCTACCTACTAGAAATACTTCTAGATCTTGGGGCTGCTGACCTCCCCCTGGGTAGTAAAGGTATGGGCTATGGCAGGTTCTTATATAATCTAGTCTAGTAGCTAGCTATGCCTAGCTATAGGCTACTAGGTCCGCGCATCCTGTAAAAAACTCTAGCCAGGGGTAGCTTTAGTAAGGTTATTAAATAACTAATCTTATAGAATAGCAGGCTATTAATCTAGATTAGGTTAGTATAATAACCTTGCTATAAATTCCTGTATAGCCCTAATTAAGCTATATATAAACCTCTAGAACTTACCTATAGTAAAACTTATCTCCTTATATAATAATTACTCTTATCCTATCTAGGTTACATGCCTAGAGGCAGTAATATTATAATAAATTTTTAGCCTAAAGATCTACTAATCTAGTAATATCTTTACAGGCCCGTGCTGGCTATAGACTATAAATTACTAGACTATCTAGTCTACTCTAGCTTAGAATAGCATTCCCTAGATTTAGGGAATCTAGTAGATAGGGGCTGTGGATAGGCTAAGTAGGCTAGGTAGTAGGCTAGATAGGGAGAATATAATAGGGATATTAGGTTTCTCTATATACTCTTTATTAATAATAAACCCTAATTCTTTATCTATAGTATCTCCTATTTATAATCCTTACTCTATAGCCACGGCCTATATATAGATAATCTCTATATACTATAGATCTAGCTATAATACTTTCTATATAAGTATAAAGCGTGCTACTTTTAATACCTAGGAAATAATAGGCAGGTAATTTTCAGGGCCCTGCTAGATTATTTCCCCCTAACCTAATATAGCTATAGTATAGATTAACAGGCTCTTATACTTATAGACCTTAATTTTTTAATTTAGTAACTTAATATAAAACTCCAAGCATGCAGTCTTAATTATAGTTATAATAAATAGCTAGACTATAAAGGGCTAATCCTTAACCTCTATAGAATTAGGACTATACTAGAATTCCTACATAGCTATTTACTATAACTACTACTATATTTTCTATTACTAGGTAGTTATAATATACCATGGCTACTACTTTTATAGCTAGTCTGTCTATATATAGATAATAAATAGTAAAATCTACTATTATAGCTAGATATAATCTTAGATACTCTTCTTATCTATATATACCTGTAATAGCTAGTATAAGATCTAGTATAGTATAGTATATATAGTAGCTATTTAGATCCTATTCCTATACTACTTTATTATATGCTGGCTGCACCAGGCTAGTAACTCCATAGTATCTTATATTACATATATGGCACCGCTCATAGGGTCCTCCAGCTTGAGATTAGGAGTAGCTACTACCACAAGTAGGTCTAGAATATATATATTAGCTAAATACTAGGCCTAGCAAGTCATATATAGCCATAGATTGGTATTCTAGAGCTCCCTAGCCTGGATAACCTGGGTGGCTGCCTCCTGCTTATCTACTACCGCCTGTGCCTTGATCTCCGTGACTAGCTGCTTATAGGTAGTGATTAGGATAGGTTACTCCTTAGGCTAGAGATCATGTAATAAGATATATACTAAATAGGAGTTTTTCTAGCTAGAGAATACTTACTACTAGGTAACTAGGCAGAATAATTACTAAAGCTAGATCTACTACTTCTCCTACTCCTAGGCAGGAATCCCTCTATAGAACTAGTACTAGATCTAATTATATACTTCTTTCTAGTAGTTTTATATAGATTTAATACTAGTAGTAATATATATATATTACTCCAGTCCCTTACTATAGCTATACTAGTATAATAGCCTGTTAGTATAAATAAGAATAATAGGAACTAGCATGTCTAGTATATAGGGAATATATAAATTATCTAGTTATTAGATAATCCCTACCTAGCTAGTTACTACCTAAGTAATAGGTTAACTATTCTATAGCTTAAGGAAATACTTCTTCTATAGGTATATTATAACTTCCTTAGGATAAATACTATACTAGTACTAGTAATATATAATAATTTATAGTATAAGAATCTTCTTAAATAGCTAGTATTCTATAATAGAATATAAATAGGTAGTAGCTAGATATAGATAAAAATATAATATTAGATAGGAAAATTAATAGAAATACTTAGAAGAATTAAAGTTTAACTAGACTTTTTAACTAGATAAGCCCCTAATTATTTAGTTTACTAGTATAACTAATCTATTATTACTATATATAGCTATCTAAGTCTATCCCTTATTAAATCTTTAATAAAACCCTAACTAACTTTAATATACTATTATATATTTACCTAATACCTACAGGCTCTAAAACTTAGGAATCTATAATTTAAGTAGCTAATCTATATCTAGTAAAAATTTAAGCTATAATATATAATAGGTTTTATAGGTACCTTACTCCTGAAAATTAAGCCACCCTATGATAAGCTGACCAATCAGCGCTGGTCCTCTGCAAAACCCTAGAGCCACCCTAGTAGCCTTCCTCAACCCTTGTGGGATAGATCTTCCTACTAATTTATAATTCTTAATACTACTTAAATACTAACTATTATTCTAGCTTATCTACCTATATATTTAATATATAATTATAGATGGCCCTATCCTAATCTTACTTAAAATAATATATTACTACTAAATTACTTAATATACTTATTATAATCTCTTATTCTTCCTCTAAACTAAAATATATTTCTTAAATTATATATAAACTTATTAATAAAACTTATATAATATTTTTATATCTAATTATAATTTAATAATTATTCCTTAATATTTATAGTATATATATATTATTACTAATATTATATATTTATTATAAATTAATTCTAAATAATTAAATAATATAATATATATAAAATTACTATAATATATTCTTAATCTCCCTATAAATCTACTATAACTAATAAAATACTACCTAGATTTTAATTCCTTATTTATTAATAGTTCCCTACCTAAAAAATACTATTATTAATATAATCTAATATATATCTATAATATAGGGCTTAATAGCCTGCTAATTCCCCTTATTAAGGAATATTACATAGCCTTTAATAATCTAGCCATATAAATATTACTTAAATATATTATATATAGCCTCTCCATGCAGTCTATATAATATTCTAGTAATAAGTAGAACTAATATACTATATTATATATATAGCTAGCAGGCCTGCTACCCTAAATAAATAGATTAAGGCATGCCATATATATAATAATATTAGAATAAGATATAATTTACCTAGAACTAGACCTAGATTATCTATTACTTAGTAGCCTAGCTATCAGGATATTAGTATAAATATAACTTATAGTTACTATTCTAGCTACTAGTAGTATAAATATAATATTAATTTAATTATATCTAGGCTTCCTACTTAATAAATTTATAATTAATTCTAGCCTACATGGCCCTGGACTATTAATAGATAGCCACTAGGGGGTATTATAGATAGGATAGAATAGTTACTAGCATAAGAGCTATTATATAGGGACTACTTCTATACCTAAATCTAGACCTAGGGGGTACCTAGGATATAAATAAATTATCTATCTAAATAAATACTGCTTAAGTAACTAGATAGGGAGTAGATAGGGATATAGGTAGTACTAATTAGATGGGTAATAAAAATAATAGTATCCTGGATATTAAGTTAGGGGCTACTAGGATTAGTAATATTAGGGTAGGACTAATTAGCTCTTATACTCCCTACTTAGAATTATATATATTATATAATAACTCCCCTAGATTAATATCCTAGTACTATTACTAGGAATACCTATTAATAGTCCTATCTAAGTACTAGTCTAATATATATTATTAATATAAAACCCCCTAGACCTTTATATACTATTATATATATTTAAAATTAGTCTTGGTAATCTAGTTAATTTATAGATCTAGGCTATTCTACTTCTAGAACTAAATAATAATAACTTTACTAGTAATACTATTATATCTAGTATAGCTACTTTCCTACCTATAATCTAATAATATTCATAGCTAGCTAATATAAATTATATACTAGATATTAGGGATATTAATCTCTATACCTAATATACTAGTAGTACTAATAATCCAGGTCTAGCTAGCCTGGAATTACTACATAACC